GGAAATTACATGATTGTAGCTTTTGGTGAGTAAAATTTTTACATTACTTTATAGAATATGCTTCAAGCTTTAATTATTGATATTTATGACAGGAAATATTACACAACCAAATTCTTTACCACTGGCACAACAAAGTTCTGAAATATATTTAATGGATATAAGAAACTTTACATGGGTATATACATTTGAAGTTCAAAAGACGACTGAACACGGTCCGATTAATACGACTATAAAAATTGTAATTACAACAATTTGTGCAATGGTAGGTATAGGTATGCTTTCTATTTGTGGAATTTTTATTTATAGATGGCAACGAACTAAAAGGGAACTCCATGCATGAGCATCGACATCTTAGTATTTCTGGTACAATTGTTCCTGAAATTATTATATATAACAGTTGCAGCCGAATATAAAATATAAACTAAGATAAATATGAGAACTAAGAAGTTAATTGATTAAGAAAAACTCTACTTTGGAAATTTCTAAATATTATTAATTTATTTATTTGAAAACAGCAATGGCAATTAAATTAATAAGGTTAGAATCGATTTATTTTAAATTAGTTTTATAAATCAAAATTTGAATGAGATTTGAAACTTAAAAGTTTATTATCTGAGATAATGTCTTAAAATTTTCTTCATAGAAATGAAGGAGAAAAAACTATGATTTTATTTTTTGTATAAAAAGTATTTAAATAAAAAAATTATTCTTTATCCATTAGTAAGATAATTTGTAATTAACTAATATTTTTATTGCACAGGTAAAAACTTTTATCGGTCATTTACTATTTGATGATTTATGCTAGAACAATTAGTTACTAATCATTTATTTTGTTAAATCGTAAATTACTATTAGATAACATTATTTAATATGGTTTAATAACTAATTATTAAATTATAAATATTCTTAACTATCGTCACTTTCTTGTATTTGTAATGATCTTCAACAGATACAGACATTGTGTTTGAGGAACTCTACCTTTCGCAAGTGCTGATAGTTCAAGGGAGGGTAATTGATTACCATTGGATGAAATATTTTGTGTCATTTTATATTATCAAAAGAAAATGAAAAAATGGTTTAATAAAGCTAAAAAAAAAAAAAAAAGTCTATAAAGTTTAAATTAAGCTATTTTGTAGTAATAATTTATCAAACATTAATATATAACATTTTATTCATTAAACTAGGAAGGGAACCGTTGTTAAATCAGATAAAGCTCTAAAACAAACTAACAACTTTGTTAAAACAAACAAAAAAAGTTTCGTTTATTACGAATCTTATATTTAATTCTCCCGAGTTCTGAACTCAGATTACCGAATCTACAGAAAGAAATGTTTATTAATGTTTCGTTAAAAAGAAAAAAGTTTCTATGAATCTTTATTTCCAAACCTGAACTGATCTAAGAGATGAACAAAATGTTAGATAGTATTTTGTTTAATAAAAAAAAATTTCAAAATTTACCTACTTTCGATATAATGCTTGAATCCTAGAAAGAATAAAATGAAAACATTAGTTGATAAACATTTCGTTAAAAAAAATTACCTTTTATCCTCCTGAAACCAACCTGGATTTAAAGAAATGAAAGGAACAAAACGTTTATTAACGTTTTTGTAATTAATAAAAGAATTTTGAAGTTACTTACCTTCGAATTTACATCCAAAAACTTCCCGAAACCTATAAATGAAACATTAGAAAACATTTTATCAAAAAGAGTTAATAAAAAAATCATTTCGAATTTCCATAAACCCATCACACCTGTAAGCTAAAAAATAATGTTTTTTGACGTTTTGTTAAAATAAATATTAAAGAAATTTTCTGTAAAATTCACTGCATGAAGCTAAAAAGAAAAAAATAATAACGTTAGAAATGTTTCATTAAAAAATAATTAGAAAAAACTTTGAAGTTAAATACCTTCAAAATTTGCTAGTAACGTTTTGCTTAAAAAAAAATAAAAAAGAATAAAAAAATTCGAAGCAATTACCTTTGAAATCCGTAAAAACTATCTAAAACTACAAAGAAAAAAATGAAAGTTAGAAACATTTCGTTTTAAAAATAACAAAAACTTGAAGATAAATACTTTCGAAATTCTGTAAGATCACTGAGCGTTAACTAACATTTCATTCAACAAAAATAAAACAAAAAAAAAAATCAAAAGTATAACACCTTTGAAATACTGACAAAATTCTGTTCAAAGAAACTACAAAAAAGAAAAGAAAAAGAAAGCATTTCATTTATAAACTATAAACTTTTTATAATTGCAGTTATGACGTCAAAGGAACTTTATTAAAATTAAAAAAAGCTATACTTTACAACTTCAGCTGCGGCTTGCGGCTTATATAATATTGTGTTATACAATACACGTAATATAATTATATAGATATATAGAGCCGCATTTTTTCATATAAATAGGTATTATAATAAAAAACAATAAAAATACATTGTTAATATGTGAACTTGAAAAATGATAGATTTTTCATTAGTTAATATATTCGGATTACAAATAGCATTTTCATAATTTTAGATAATATTAATTAACAATAAAATTTCCGGTGACTTTGATACCCCCACTGTAAATTATATTATAATGAGCAATTTTTACTTATTGTATAAAAGGTAAGTTTATTAATAAAAAAAAAAGTTTGATTAAACGAATTTTTTGGATGATCATTTCTATATTAAGGTGACCTCTATTTTTTTAATGTTTAGTATACTTTAAAAATTGTATGATTTTAAATAAAAAATAGTTCATATTTGTATGAATGCTAATATTATACATGTATGAAAAATAATTAATCCATACTATACACACATACAGGTTTGCTATATACCCATGCAAAGTTGTGATCGTAGTTTTAGATATATGATTATCTTTCTTTCTCGATAAGGTAAGTTCCAATATTTTTTAAAAGAAAAATAAATTCATAGTCGTATGAAAAAAGCATTTGTACAAATATTTTTTGAGCAAAATCGTGTTACACGTATTTGTCGTGCAAAGGATTTTCATTTGACATTAACGTTAACGTTAATGTAAGTCAGCCACAAGAAACGTAGTGCACGTTAAAATTTAATAAATAAAAGAAAAAAAAATTTTTTTGAAATAAATTATAATTGAATTATGACTTGCAAAAGTTATTATAAATTACTTAAATTATGCTTCATATTCACAATTTATTTGTTCCCCGATGTTGAAACGTTTATTCCTGTAGGACGTGCTGGACATTCATCCGTTCTTATTGAAGATAAACTATATTTTTTCGGTGGAAGAAATGTAACAACTTATACAAATGAAGTGTTCTATCTTGATGTGTCTCAACGATTCGATTCGGGACTTCCGCTATGGACTGACCTTACATTAAATGCAGGATTAAGTTTTGGAATAAGTTGGGCGACTACTGTTGCATTGAATGATAAAAATAATAATCCAACCATATACCTTATTTTTGGTGACATACTTGATAAATCTATTACCTCACTAGTACAAACATTTAATCCAAAATCCGGACAATGGAGTGCACCCTTAATTTCAGGAATAGAACCAATTATACGATCATTTATTAAATCTGTCGCTGATG